TGATTTTTAAATTACTCAGCTTTATTATCTATTATATTTATGTTTTTCAAAAGCTTATTTTCTACACTATGTTTTTACTTTTTAGTTCAAAACGGAAAATAATAAATAATACTAATAAAATAAAATATTTCAAATCCCCTTTTAATCTCGAAAATATGTAAAATGATAATGTAAGATAAATCATAAACGAATCTTTTGTTTTCTCCAATAAAAGAAGAATCTTACCTGCCATTAAAAATTTAAATTATACAAATAAAATTATGGGACAAGAAAAATGACATACGAATACGATCACTAACTTTCTTTATACATAATAACAGCCAATGGCGGAGACACAATATTAGAAGGGGTCAGATGACTGACCCCCATAAATCTTTGAATTTTGCTTACAAGCTTATGCTCTATTTGATAATTGTGGTAAATTGATTGCTTTCTAATAAATTGACCCCATGTCCAGTGGTCATATCTTTTCTTTGCACATATGGAAACGATATTATATTTATTCAACTATATCTTTTGCAATTATGTTTTAAGAAAATATTATTGAAACTATCACAAAATATGTAAACTGGAATTATATATATACTGTATTTTATGAATAAAGAAGAATAATGATTATCTCTTATTTTATTTATTTTTAAATACAATGAATTTTAAAATTTTAAAGATAGACTTTTTTAGAAATCAGATATTATATTTAAATATTTAATTATAACTAAAATAAAATATGACCCCTATAACAGTTTTTTCTAGCTCTACCACTGATAACAGTTAGACATTGCATGTCCACCAACAACCTCCCTCTGTATTATATTCTTAATCAGAACTTAATGGGGATCAGAGGCAAACGAAATGGAAGATTACCAAAAAGAAAAAAAAAAAGTGAAGAAAAGAAATGGAAGATATCAAAGGTCTAAAACCAGTGTAGAGGAGTACTCTTTTTTTTCTTATTAATTGATTTTTTAGACAAAAAAATTGATTTTTATATTTTCTATGCCTTATTTATTAGTTATTATTAATGAATTTTAAACTGAAAAACACATAATTGAATATCATTGGTGTAGAATTATACGAAAACGTAAATCACAAAAACAATACATTTGTAATCAATTTTAATGTACTTTCTTAATAAATTTGTTTTTTCTAAAAAATTAATTAAAATAAATAAAAGAAGTATTAATTAAAGACATGCATAATTCGAACATGGGGGTTGGTTGCATATCTACTATCCGTTTCCGAGGCATTAAAATAAATTTTATTTAGTGTACTTCAATGTAAATTGAATATAATTAATTAGTCTATACTTATCCATCGGTTAATTTATTTTATTCTATAATGACCCTACTATTTTTTTAGTAATTGTACAAGTATACTCCCTCTGTTTCTGAATATTTGTAGTTTAAGGTTTTTGCACACAAATTAATAAAACATACAAATCTCATTTAATTTATCTTTTTCCTATAAAACATCATTAATTACAACTAATCTAACCAATAAAAAATATGATGTAAAATATAATTGGTTAAAAACTATTAAATACATTTAATGTTTGCATAGAAAAGTGAAAACAACACTTATATTGAAAAAAATAAAAAACCTTTAAACTACACTTAATTAGAAACAGAGGGAGTATTATATATATATATATATATATAGATAGTACAAGTACAGTAATATATATATATATAGTACAAGTACAGTAAATAAATGTGAAAATTTGTGATAATTATTGGATTAGTTTTGTTATTATACTAACATTTGGGTATTATATTCCTAAGAACATATTCAATGGTATGAGTGGTTGAGGGAATCTTACCAATTTTTTAATTTTAAATTTTGACAATTTGAAAGTTTAGCAATTCTATTGGCCTCTTAACAATTATCTTGTTCAATGGTAAGGTCCTTAAGAAATAAAAGTTGGTGTTTGGTGTTTTGAAGTTTTGAATAGAAAGATAAAAAAGAGACAAGTGAAGTTTGGTATTAGAGCCTTGATAAACACATTTTCAATAACAGGGATTCATGAAAAACAAAAAAGATATACAAGAAGTTTTGTATTAACAAAGATTCATGACAATACATAACAATAATATGACAAAATATACAAACTGTGTGATGAATCGCCATGTTGTAATCACCGCCTTGTCCTAATTCCATAAACTTGATCTCAGTGTTCCATGGATTCCATAGTCCACTTGAACCATTTCATCAAAAATGACACGCGATGTTAAGCTGTGTGAGACAATCACAAAGTTTAGCTCATGAGACGGGTTGATGTGGAGTCTGTTCATGTCGTCAATGTCTCTGTAGAGACTTGAGAAAACCTGTACAACAACACTCAAAAAAGACCAACTTCTAGGGTTTGATCCGAATAATGCGGATCCCTGGTGGCTGTTGCTAGTTACATTGCTGGAAGACACAATTGAGCTCTTGCTAGTTACATTGCTAGGTTGGTTAATAAGACTTTAGGATAAAAGTTTTATCCAAAGTTCCCCACTTTCAACTGTTTTGGCTGCATTGATCTTAGGACATCAGAACTGTGAAGATGAGCATGACGTATGACTTGTTAGTTCAAAACTCACTTGATCCTGACAAAAACAGGTGCTTCGTTGGTTTAATAAGATGGATGCTCAAGGAAAAAAGTTTTACCTAAAGCTCCCCACTTTCAGCTGCTTTGATCTAAGGACGGATGAGACATATGACTTAGTTCAATATTTACATAATCCTGACAATATCAGGTGAACCGTTTTATACACCACCTTATGTTATATGATTTTTCTATGGATCCACTTGTTAGAATATGTACGTAAAATGTGACTTATTCGACCAAACCCATAATTGAAAATTCATATAATTTTGTTGGCAGATTACAGTTTTAAGACAACAGTAAGGACGTTGACCTTCATTGCTTCCAAGCATTAGAAACCTATTAAGAGCTCCACTTAACTGGTTATATAATATTATATCGGAGAAGGTGGATCGGCCATGGCTACTACTCTCAGCTCATCCTCTCTCTTCATCCAATTCAGAGGACGGAGATACAACTCCCTATCATCATTCAATAATCTCCAAAAGCGCACCGTTTTGTCGCTTTCTTGTGCTCTATCCTCACAAGGTGGAGACATGATTCCACCAGAGGGAAAAAGCAATGATCGCAACTCTGCCTTTGACTTCAAGTCGTATATGATCCGTAAAGCCGAATCCGTCAGTGCGGCTCTCAACGTTTCGGTACCTCTCCAAGAACCACTCACGATACAAGAGGCGGTGCGGTACTCATTACTAGCGGGCGGAAAACGTGTGAGGCCTCTGCTCTGCATTGCTGCTTGTGAGCTCGTGGGTGGCGACGAGGCTACTGCCATGTCAGCCGCTTGTGCAGTCGAGATGATCCACACGAGCTCGCTAATCCATGACGACCTCCCGTGCATGGACGATGCCGACCTCCGTAGAGGCAAGCCCACCAACCATAAAGTATGTTGTTAAATCATATGGAGACTAATTGCTCACGAGATTTGAATCATTTATTGATGTTAGTATTTGCTCACTAGTGAAGAACTATTTTTTGGTCAAACAAGGAATTTGGAGAAGACATGGCGGTTTTGGCGGGTGATGCACTCCTTGCTTTAGCGTTTGAGCACATGACGTTTGTGTCAAGTGGGTTGGTTGCCCCTGAGAGGATGATCCGTGCTGTAATTGAGCTGGCAAAGGCCATAGGGACAAAAGGGCTAGTGGCTGGGCAAGTGACTGACTTATGTAGCCAAGGATTGAATCCAGACGACGTCGGATTGGAGCGTCTAGAGTTCATCCACCTCCACAAAACGGCCGCCTTGTTGGAGGCAGCGGCGGTTTTAGGAGCCATAATGGGAGGTGGAACAGAGGAAGAGATCGAAAAGCTAAGAAAGTATGCGAGATGTATTGGGCTGTTGTTTCAGGTGGTTGATGATATTCTTGACGTAACGGAATCTACTGAGGAATTGGGCAAGACAGCCGGAAAAGATGCAATGGACGGGAAGCTGACATATCCAAGGCTGATAGGCTTGGAGAGATCCAAGGAAGTTGCACAGAAACTGAGCAAAGAAGCAGCGGAACAGCTTCTAGGGTTTGATTCGGACAAGGCGGCGCCTCTTGTGGCTCTTGCTAGCTACATTTCCTGCAGACACAACTGATATTTTGCATGAACTGAACATATCCTCAAAGCATCTAATGTCCTGACAAGTCCATTCTTAGTTTTATTTTTCAAAAATAAAAATAAGGTCCATTAGATCGATCCATGGTCTTCTTTCATATGAATCTTTGTCTTGTGATCATCACTTTGTGTTCTCAGCTTGCATTTTAGTATTACGTTTTTGAATTTTAATGTCAGTTTTCAATTACTAATATATCATTAAGGTTTGCAAATGGGAACAAAGCAAGTGGGTAAACAAAGAACGTGTTTATGCAATATTAACCTGCCTCAAGACTGAATATCTAATGTTAAAGCCATGTTGAATGGTAAACTCGTAAAACTTATAACCATGTTGAATTTGGTCATTCTTAAGCTAGCTCACGTTAAGAGTGTGCCTCTCTATATCTTAAGACCAACCTCCGTATGTATACAGGCCTGAACCACAGTTGACCCGATGTGGTTCTTGTTGCAGAACATGATCACTAATACGGTTATGTGACCAGTTAACTGAAAAACACGATAGCTTGTATTCTCCATAAAATCAAATTAAATGATTGTCTGAGTATGTCCATTCCATTTTTCCCGGTTCACATACGTGTCCAACAATAACCGAAGATAAGATTAGTATATTGTTAAGCTCTGTAAAGTAACGTTAGAAGCAGTTAAATCTCCGGAGTAGACGTATTGAGTATGAGCTGAGATGCATCACAGATAGAACTATAGAAGCAGAGATAGAGACGAACTTGAAGAGTTGTAACTTTAGGGATTGTTTGTGTTTTTAACCACTATGTCCAGTATATGGAGAACCCCCTGATTAAAGATATTGTTAGAAATCCAAATGACGACCTTACTTGAACAGGATCTGTTCTATTGGCTCATACCTCTGTTTCCTTGATTTCTCAAGAGACATGCTCTTAACCCTGGTTGATGAACCATAAAAAACCCAAGTGTCATTAGCTCAATTGGTAAAGACCCTAAGCGAAGTTTTGAGGTCGCCGGTTCGAGTGACGCTTGGTGGTTTCGGGCTTAGAGAAATTACGGGATTCGGTCCAGAATCTCCTGGTATTCAAAAAAAAAGAAATCCAAGTGAACTGAAAATCCGCTGACACCAAAAAGTCAATGGGAACATCTCCTTAAATGGAGATGAAAGATCCCCCTGCAAAGAGATTCAGGACCACTTTTAGCGCAAAGCAGATAATCACAAAGCATTACCTTTCTTGGAGTAATACAAACGTGATCACAAAGCATAACACTGGATTATGTGAAGCTGCAGAGATCGAAGTATGTGTCCAAATCATCACTAAATGAAACAAACGTGATCACAAAGATTATCGGCTTAGTGATTTTGGTTTACTTGAAGGCTTATATGAATACTTCAAATTCTATGGAGATTTTTTAACAAAAAAAAAATTTCTATGGAGATTTAGACGGATTTAAAATGATTTGAGATAACTTTGCAGAATTACTATTAGAGAATCTTAGTAGGTGAGTAGTAGAAATTTCTTATAATAAAGCAGATTTGTTAGATTTGATTAGGAAATGTTTTAAAAAGTATCTGATTGGATTAGTAATTTTTTAGAATATAATAAATATTGTAAATTCTTATAATGGAGAAGTATAAATAGTTTTCCAATTTGTAACCCACATAATTATGAATGGTATTGAATAAAAAAATAAATTAATTGGAAATTAATAGATAAAGATTTTCTCTTCGAAAATCTTGCTGTAGGATTTGACTTTTGCTAGAAAACATCAATAACTACTATTAATTGTAATAGATGGCTAAAATTAGAAGTTAAGTTAGAAGTTAAGATCTGACTTTAATGAACCGTGACAAGAAGATCCGCGTCTTTTTGAGACGGGTACATTTTATGTCATAAAATTTTAAACCCAATGGAATTCTTCGTAAATACTTGTCAACTTTCTGCCAATGTCACTAAACGTACGGCTCAAATAATAGTTTTAGATGTTAGAAATGAATATATAAAATTAGTATTTCAAATTTATGTCTTACTTAATATAGAAATTCTAAAAAATTAAAAAATGGGTAGAAAACCCCTCACATTTCTTAAAGACATATAGAAAAAGTTTTTCTGAAAAACCCTCAACTTTTTTGTGAGTTTTATAACCCTCACATTTTCATTAATGATAAAATAAACCTATAATTAATAAACTCAATTTAAATTCAAACAAATCATTATATTAAAACATAAATAAATATAAACAATTTGATTTATAATTTTTTCCTCTAAAATTTTAGTTTACAATCTTTTTCTAAATTGAAAATTTTAAGTCATGATGTGCAAAAAATAATTAATGAAGTTTTATTCAATTTGGTTACAATAATTCATCAACGTAATTTTTTTTTTTTTGTTACGAGTGAAATAAAAATCTACATATACATTTTTGCAGCCATTTTGTGAAATAAATCTTGTAGTTAGGACTTATTTACAATGATTGCCACTGGATTTTAATATTTGTTTTTGATAATTAGAAAAAAAATTTTGAATTAAATATTTGACATTTAACAATCTTCCTAAAATCTCTCGACATTAACTACACGATTGGTTACTAAAATAAAACTTTCAAAATATTTAATATCATTTAATTACTACAAAATTATCATTATTGATATTGTTTTTCTGCATGACTATTACAATTCGATTATAATCATCAAACCGCAGAGATATCTGATAGCATTTAAATGATACTTGATTATTTTATGAAATAAATTGATTGATAAATAACTTAATTTAAAGGTATAATCACTTATAGAAATTTTCATGAATGACTAGTTTAATGTATCTTAAGAAGACATCATAATTTTGATGGTCAAAGTTTTTTCAAGAACTTAAATTATCACCAAAAGTTGAGAAAATAAATATGGTAAAAATAAGTAAAATTTCTAACTTTTAACGATGAAATAATCTAGTATATCAAGTAGTATAAAATCTTATTAAAAGACTCTAGAAGAGCATATACATTGTTTTCTATGGGAATACAAAATTAAAATCATTGATACGGTATAGTTCTCCAAATCTCAAAGTTAATATGATGAGATATAAATACATTATGATTCTAGAGTGGAATTCAATACGAGATGGATGAACTTGAAGTTTCATCATCTCGAGGAGGAGAAGTAATGAATGGATAATAAGTGACATATCCAGAAGATTATGTTCAATCTTTGACTACTAAAGATCTAAAAGTTGTATAAAGCAATTCTTATATGAATGTGTTATTAGATAAAATAAGTTATAATTAGTTATTACTAAAACTTCAAGACTTGAAGTCTCTTTGAATATAACTCACATTGTTAAGAGAATATCTCTGATGCAGAGATGGTAAAACAGACGCTTAAACTTTTACGCAAGTATCGTTGTCCTGTACACACAATATTTTGAAAGAAATTTAAGAACTATTATGAACTAAAATCGAGTGTTTTTCAAAGGCTAAGAAAATATATGAGTTATTGATGATAAGTAATACTCATATTCTGAAGTGAATATAAGATCTTACATAGCTAGTCAAATTAAATTTAATATCGTTTATATTAGAATATAAAATTTCAATTATTGTCTCGTTTATTGCTATATTAACATATGATTGATTATTAAAATACATGGAAGTAATTTTGATTATAAGATCTCATTAAGGGAGTAACTCATAAGCAACGAAAAGTAAATCAGAAGTTTTCAAAAAAAAAAAAAAAAAAAAAAAAAAAAAGAACTAGAAGTTTCAAGAGTATATTTGGCTTAACCGGATTGGTCATCCTGGTTTAATGATGATGCGAAAGTATTGAGAATTATGTGGACATTAGGTGAAAAACCAGAAGATTCTCCCTAATGATTTATCAATTGTTACTTGCTCAGAAAGCAATATGATAATGTGATTTTTACCAGTCAAAATAATTTGGACTTATCTATTCGTAAGTATACAAAAGGAGATGATTATGGGTTGATCACCCACTGTATGACATTTAGATACCTAATGGCTATAAAAGATGCATCGATTCAATGGACGCATTGACTCGATTGTTGCATCGACTAGAAGGTCATATTTATCCTTGTTATAAACCCGCAACATAGAGTTTGCGAGGTTACTTTCTTGATTAAAGTACAAGAGTATTTCAGTGTTTATTTATTATAACCATTATTGGATATCCGTTAGGATAAGTGTTTAACATTTTGAAATTTATGTTCATACACAAAATGGTTTAGTAATATCGATACGCATCAAGCCAATGAATAATTAATAGTTTTCCCCATCACTATTGGTTTTGGGTCAGAAACCAAATAGTTTTCATCTAAAATCTTTGAATGTGAAAAGTGCCCCACCACAGCACGCTGAGATGAACCCTCAAAGGAGGAGAAGGATACATGTTGGATATGAATGATAACTAAGCCATCCTAGAAGGATTTATGTACCGCTCGTTTTGAAGAGTATCATATTATATAGTCAGCTATTCCAACATAAGGGGGAGAATGTATACAGCTGGTGAAAAAAAGATAAAAAGAAATGAATTATCAATGATCCTCGGAGTAAAGAATGTATATTAAGAGTCCAAAAGATAATTCAATTACAGAATTTAGCGTTGTAATTGCCAGACGCATTTGCTGACCCAAATAAAGTGATGAAATCACCTATACCAGTTGTAAATTAAATGCTCCAGAATATAATGAATGTCCTGTAAGGACCAATTTCAAACTGCTATTGAGTCTTAAGATCGCATGAAGCGTAATAGACCTTGGTTCCAAATATAAATATCCTCGTAAAAGTGAACGAGCACAAAATTAAAAATGACCAAATTGAGGAAATAAATATTTTGATGATCTCTTGAAGAGAGTGAATGATCTCTAAAAGAGACATAAACATGACAAATGAAACATTCAAGTACTTGACAATGAAGAGATCCAGCTAGCTATGTCATGTCAAAATATAATAGAATCAAAAGCAAATCGACGTCGTAATATATTTGCATGCTATGAGCAGTTGATATTATGGACAAAAAGGAGGATCATGAAAGAAAGTCTATTGAAAAGTGTATACAAACTAATGATTAGCCAAAAATGGAAAAGAAGAAATAGACATATAATTATAATCTCTAGTAGAGATATTTGGACTAGTAGTCTATGCACATGATGTGTAAAACCAGTGGAAGATAAATGAATCTTTATGTGAAAGAATAGTGAAATTAATGAGATTTTCACAAAGATAAGAAATGTATTATGAAGAGATATATTCTCTTGTGGTGGATGTAATATTCTTAAGTATCTAAAGTCTGGCAATAAGACACGGAACACTGGATATGACATTTATATGAAATTCTTGAAAGATATAATCTCTGAAGGATTAATTATATGAGAATTATGTTCTCTAGAACTCTACTCGATCGAATAAAAAGAAATATGTAACATGACATATAATCATATAAATGTATATTTATGTTGAGTTTGTCAAAATATATTGATCAAACTAAGATTTGTTTTGAAAATCATTAAAACTCCTACAGAGTTATCATAAGTAATACGATGACAATAATCTATGATAAAATATCACTAGATAATGATATTTATAAGTCTATATGAAAACCATATAATTTTGATCATTAAGATTATGGTTATTAATTCCAACAAGATATTGTATTTGATTGAAAATCATCTCCTGAAGAAGATGTTTCCGAGGGGGAGATTGAATGAGATGCGTGGATGTACCCTTTTTCCTTATCATAGTTTTTATCCCACATGATTTTTCTATGACAAGGTTTTTAACGAGATATTAAAGAACACGCAAATAATACACTTGATGAATATTAAGAAATTCTATCAATCATCCAAATGAATATTATACACTAATGATATTTAGAGAAATAAATAAGATGGTCAAGATGAATCATCTAAAAGATTCATGAGCAGCAGAAGAATGGCGTTGTACTTTATCCAGAAATTTGTTCAAGAGAAGATTTGGCAGACTTATTCTCAAATACTGTTTATTCTCTGCCACATCTTCTAATCATGCAGAGATTTT